ACGTTTAAAAATACATCTCCATTGGGTACATGGACAGAAGTATATTCTGTTGGTAATAAGATGATAACAGCTCCGTCTCATCCTTGTTCTCCGAAAAACTCTGCAATATTCTTTTTCATTTTTGTGTAAAAATAATTTGCCTTTTTCTCATGCAGCGTTCTCTAGTTATTAGATTCCTTTTTACTTCTCTGCTTCTGCTGTTATAATTTGAAATAAAGTGTTTACTTTATTTCAACTTGATGCTTTACTTTCTCATCGTTCTGGATGGTAACGTATATAAAGCCTATGCATTTTGTATAGGCTTAAAGAAGCAATATATGTGTAGACAGTCCCAATAAACTTCAATATAATATAGAGTTACCAAGACAAATTAACATACGAACTATCCTTGAATATTTTTTCTTGTTCGGATGCTATGTGCAAAGCTGCACGTCGGCTATCAAGCAGCCAATTATTTTCTATAGTCGTGAGGCGACCAGATCTTCGGCGTGTCTAGATATAGTAGCGGCATCTAGTATTCTACATTAGTGCATTATATTTCTTAGTCAGAAATGCTTTTTTTAACTAGGTCCTCGCTTTTCCCTCAACGTTTCCTTATAATATTAGTTTTGGTATCAAGTATCAGGGTTCCCTCAACACATGTCCCAGGTTTTACGACATTTTACCATATTCAACAATTATTTTTCTTCGGCACTCTTCATAACTTCTTGCTTGAAGCAATCGAAGCTGGAAAGCTTCGATTCTATTTAAAGTCTTCACTTTGAGTGAGCAAGTTTCATCATACAGTACAATAGGCCACACATAATATATTTAAAAACACACACCCTGTCAATTAATGATAACTGCCTATAGAGAAGCAGATTCTTCATTGAAGCAGATAAAAAACGTTGTCTTGGAATGGCTTATCCGATTTTTTAGTTCTTCATCAGAATCCCATTACTCATTAAATGTAGCCCCGAGATAAGTAAACCTAAACTTTAGTGATGCATTCAAATTATATTCCCAATTTCTATGAGGGGAGTATTGTGCTGTCAGTGTTTTATATTCATCTTGTTGATTTTTAACAAGTCGACGTTCATTCATTAAGTCTAGAATCTTATCGGCCATCCGTGGTTATATCTTATCCCGCTTTTGTTGCCCAAGGACATTTTTCGTAGTTGTTTGTATATTTCTTTGGGGCGTATACCAGATATTGGATGCATTATGTTGGATTAGATTGCTTTCCTGACAAAGGTTGTGCATTTCTGCTTTCATTTCTCTTGTATTAATTTTTGTCTAAGAAGAAGAAAAATCTTAGAACCCATGCTGTCTGTAAGAAGCTCGAAAGCTTTTGAGTTCTTAACTGTTTAGAAGCATTGGTCAAAACGAATGAATCTTGCATCAAACTGAAATAATGAGAGATGCGTAGAAAATATATTACATGATTTAACAGATTGACGTTGTGTAATAGATTATGTTGCGCCAACAAGGTACAAATTGCACAATGTTGGACAACATTCGAATAGTGTAGGAATTCTAAGAAGAAATAAGACTACTGTATTCCTTACACATTACAATTTTTTCACAAAAATATAGTCAGTCAGATTTATAAAAATATTTCTGTCTATTCATATTGTATTATCTTTTTTATTTCTTTATTACATTAATTACTATGATCTACTATTTAAAAAGAAAGTACAGGATTGAATATAACCTTGACTTAGCAGTGTTTTGTATTCAATAATATAAATATATTAATTTTGATATTTTAATATATTATATCGTCAAGTATGCCATATCCAGCTAGAATTTGTATCATACCAATAAAGAATCCATTTTGAAGTAGATTAAACTTACAGAGTGTTGATTTGCTATGCTCTTCTAGTTGATTTTTAGCGTAACTATGAAGTACAGAAGTGTACATCAATCATGATCTTAGTGGATGTCATATTTCTTGATTTTTTAACTGTTTCAGACCATGACATACTGTATTCATTAGTTAATAAAATAAATATAAAAATCTGCTATTTAGGTGTTGCTTTGTTAAATTGTAGTTTGTGTTGAGGGGAAGAGAGATATATAGAGATAGGGTTTGAGAATGAGCAAAAGTGAGAGATAGAAAATATTTTATACAAAAATGGCCCTAATTTGTATAAAATCATCTACACATATTCCAAATTTTATTATGCTGCTTATCCTACAAATATGAACACCACAGGGAAAGAACTTGATAAGTCCATTTTTTGACATTGCTCGTTTTTAATACCACTTTGTAGCTTTAATTACATGGTTTCTAAGAGTAATACAATACAGAGTAATATCTCGATAAGTCAAAAGATATAAGTGTTTAAAAAACCCTGTACAGGAAAAGAACTTGACATGCCCATTCCAAACAGGGGAAAACGTTGTTGATAAGTCGAGGTAATTCTAGTAGTTGGCAAAAAGGGTATGCGACATTGGGTAACCTGATTCCTACAATTTCTGTGTTGTAAAGGTTATGTTAGTGCTTAGTTTGTTTTATTTTAATGTGAAAGTGATTATTTACAACATTTGATACTTTTATCTAATAATCAAAATAATCATGGCAGATACGGGTAAGTGTTCGAGTGATCAATTACCTTTTGCTTGTGGGAAAAACTCTAAGAAAAGGAAAAACTTTGGAAGGATGCAAGGTGTAAATGTGCTGAGAAATGTTTTGATTTAATCTCTGGACATGAAAGACAATCTATTATAAAAAATATGAACTCTTTTAAACATAATGACGAAATAAACTTATATTTAGCGGCTTTGGTTACGTGCAACGTTCTGTGCAACGAAGAAGGGCTAGAAAACCTGAAAATGAGGCTGGTTTTCGAGACTGCACTGTTTGTTATCATGTGAAAATAAAACGGCAAGCCAGTGTGGAAGATATCCAGGTTTGCAAGAATGCTTTTGTGTCATTTCATGGTATAACACGAAGTAAAGTTGATGTTCTTGTAAATAAATTTAAAAAATCAAACGACGCTCCTAGGGACTTACGGGGTTTGCATAAAAATCGCCCTTACCAAATGGACGAAGATTTGAAAAAAGCAGTTCATGAGCACTTCAAGGACCTATTTATCATTAAACATTAAAAAATGTTTATTGTTTAAAGAGAAATATAACTTATGAAAGCTATAAGTAGGTCTATTTTTAATCTTGATTTCAACATTGGATTTGGATATCCGAGATAGGTGAGGTGTAACACGTGTGATAGGTATACTGCGGAAAAGAAAACGTTAAGTTTAAAAATAAGCACAAGCTTAGTTAAGAACTAAAAGCACTTGAAACTAAACAAGAACTTCACTAAAACAAGCAACTTTTTATGAGAGGAAAAGGACTGCTAAACAAAACCTAGCCTAACATTGAAACCAACGATGTCTACCACCAAAGGCAATTATACGTATATATGTTTAATATACGTGTGCTTTCAAGTACTGGCAGCTATTTTTATATCTATCCAGAAAATGTTGGAAAGAAAGGTGCAGACGAGGTTTCTTCATTTCTCTTCCACTATATACCTATATAATTTCCTTGATCCTAATGTTGAAGAGCTTTATATTTTCTGTGATTCGTACTCGGGGCAAAACAAAAACAGTGCTCTATTCAAGCTTTGCCACTTTTTGGTCTGTAATCTGAAAAGACAGCTTGTGCCATACCCTATTCGTGGACACTCATACCTTAAGTGTGACAAAAATACAGCATTGATCAAGAAAAAGTCTAAGTGTGAGATTCCGGATGATTGGTACCATGAAGTGTTCCAGAAGTGTTTATACATTTAACACTACAGTATTAAATGACACTTCATAGGAGTAAAATTGGGAATTTTTGCTATCAGTTGACAGAGAGGGTTTCCGGCATACGGCGCTTACCAGCTTAAGTTAAGAAAAGGGTAAAACCATAAAAAGAAATATAGGGACATTTTACAGGGTGAGGAAGCCAATGAAATAAAGATAAGCTCTAATTTCAATGTAAACGTTTATAGAAACTTAGGACCATTTTGAAAGCGTTTTGCAGACATTATTATTGTAGGTCGTTTATAACTCTCTCCCTGTCAATACCGAATAAAGTGTAGTTCAAATAATTGGCATGGAACATATTATCATAGTTTTCGTTTTTTATCTATTGTAATTGAATCAATAATATGTTTGTCTTTCCCGTAATTCTGAATGTTTGGCAGTTCTCGAAAGTCATCTTCATTTTTATTGTATATAATGAATGGGATGAGATCATCAGATAGTATTGAGGGTTCAATCGAATCGAATCTCCCTACGTAATATAATTTTTTACAGAAATGCTAGATTTGCTGTTATTTTTGTGTGTTAACTAGTCTACCTCTCATTCTCATGACTTAACAATGTCCTTGATATCCAGTATAATAGTTTATACACATTATAGATAAGTAACAAAAACTATCAGGCTAACAGATAAAAACTTATCAACAGCACAACAACCATTTAAATCTCAACCAAATACAGACACAAACCAAACTAAAATCATATAATAACTACTCTAATCTCCACAACCAATGTTTATAATTATAACAATAATTAATATCTCTGTATAATCAAATCGAATTCCGAATTAGTTTTTGTATCTACAGTTAATTTATAATGAAACACTGTGGATTCACAAAAACAATTCACTATACAGGTAGAATGTTTAAATATTTAATTTCTTCGAGTTTCAAAGAGAGATGTAGGGTATGCAAGTATTATTCCGCGTGGGAAGGTACTACATACTTAGTTTTCTTTGAATAAAATAACGTGCACGACATTACGAAAGTTCCAAAGTATGTTAATTACAATTTTAAGTTAGAAAAAGTGATTATATGAGTAAGTTAACTTTTTATCATCACATATATATATATATATATATATATATATATATATATATATATATATATATATATATATATATATATATATATATATATATTCATATTATAATAAATTAGCATCCACACAAATTGCATAAAAATAGAACTAAAATAAAAGGCTTACCATAGAAATTCCTAATAAAAAAAAATACCATTAATCCAAAAGTTCAAAAGTAAGTAAAAGCAAAACTAGACGAAAAAATAATCAAAACTACACAAATAAACGAATTTCACATTGTCAACAGCGAAAAAATTTCCACTACCGAACTGCAACTGGCCTGACTATGGAGCATGGCCCGACAATCGAAGTAGGTATATGAAATTCTACCGCTATCTGCCCTACGCCAACGCTACAAAACAACTGACTGTTTGCCAAGAAACGATGTGATGCGATGGCGACTAGCAACCGACGGGAAAGAAACTTGGCAGGGTTGCCAAGTCGACTTGGTTTTTCTGTAGATATATATTTTTTGTCCAAATTTTCTTCCTTTCAAAACGTATAAAGAAAATGGAGGGGACACTTAAAACAAATTGTTTTGCGTGTCAAAAACTTGTATGTTATACTGTTGATGTTAGCCATCCAAACTTCAGAGTTTGCTTCTACAGTTGTATTTACCGTATAAGTCAAACTGAGTTATTTGCAAAAAACTGGTAGGTACATTTTGCAAAAAAAACTTTAGATTTAATAAATTGCACTTTTTTGTGATAGATAAATGTTTTTGGCATTTGGCAACAAATGGTACCTACTTTGTATTTGCTAGGAAAGGAAGAAAAATTTGAAAATACCGAAATTTTGCAAGAGAACTGTGTAAATACAGATTTATGCAACTAACTTTTGCAAATTCATGATAATAGTCAACCATTAACGATATTAGTGGTTCTTGGATTAGTCTGTTTTCCAAACCTAGTGTGTTGCGATTACGAATAAGGAAGAAAGCATGTGGTAGTAAACTTTTAGTCAACAGTTTATTTTTATGAAAGTATAAAAGGTCTTACAAATTATGTGTATATATTTATATTAATTCCTAAACTCTAGTTCCTCTGGGTCGTGCAGCACTCTCGTTATTATTTGTTTGTACGCCAGCATCTATTGTTTTATAAAATGTGAGATACGGCTTCTCTCTCCAATTTTCACCTAAATGTTTTCTAAGGAAAATGTCTATGGACGATTTATCTCCTTTCAATGAACATATTTGTAAGCGTTAAGACTTTTCCTGGAGCAGATATCCACTTAGACCATAACCTCCGTGTCTCAAAAATGCGGGTAAAAAGATAATAAAATCCAAAAGTTCTAAGGTGAATACTCAGTTACTCAAGATATATGAAATCAGTGCTGAGGCTTCAACTTATATCAATCAAGAAATGAAGAAATTAACATCAGAAGTGAAAAATACTGAGAATGTGAACATTATCTGGAGTAAAATCAAAGATTCTGTATAAAAACGCAGAAAGAAACTCTACAAAAGAAAACAGAAAGCCGAAAATCATGGATGACTCAAGAAATACTGAAAATCATGAACAAAGAAGAAAATATAGAAACAAAAACCCAAATAAGTACAGAGAAAAACATAAATTAATAAGGAACAAAATAAAAGAGACTAAGGAAAAGTGAATGATGGAAACATGCATCGAAGTGGAAGAATTTCAGAAAAAGAATGATCATTATAATTTACATAAAAAAGTGAAAGAATTATCTGCTCTTATTACCAACATGCTATAAACAACTCAAAATCTAGCAGAGCCCCTGGGCCAGATGAAGTTCATATCGAGCTGATTAAACTTATAGACGAAGACAATTTACGTACAATAACTATACTTTTAACAACATATTCAAATCGGGTGAAATACCTACAGAATGGCTGCTGTCGACCTTTGTTCCGCTACCAAAAACCAAGAACCCCCAACCACTGTAATGACTATAGATTAATCAGCTGAATGTCACACTTATTAAAAACATTTTTAAAGATTGTACATGCAAGAATTTTCACAAAGTACGAAGCGGATATGAGTAATAAACAGTTTGGCTTTCGTAACGGCTTTGGAACAGTGGAGCTCTGTCGAGTTTCAGAACTCTTGCCCAAAAATGTCGAGACCAACAAAAAGATCTTTTTCGTTGTGTTTATAGACTATGAGAAAGCTTTCGATAAAGTTAAACATAACATTCTCATGGAATGTCTAAAGAGAAAAGGAATCGAGAAAAATGACATTAACATAGTGAGAAATCTCTATTGGAACCAACAGGCTGTGAATGCACGGATGCGCAACAGATAAGTAGAGGAGAGAGACAGGGCTGTGTACTTTCACGATTACGATTTAATATATATTCCGAAGAGTTATTTACGCAAGCACTTGAAAACTGTACAGAAGGGATCAAGATAAATGGTGAAAATATAAATAATATCCGTTATGCTGACGATACAGTCATTATCGCTGAAAGTGAGACAGACCTGCAGACGTTACTAAACACAATTTGTGATACTGGAGAACAGTTTTGTTTACCAATAAACATAAAGAAAACAAAAACCACGGTTATCAGTAAGAGGGGCAAAGTCATTACAAGGATCCAGATAAAAAATGAAGATATTGAGCAAGTAGACAAAATGTAATACTTAGGAGTCTAAATTACGGAAGATCTGTATCCGAAAGAAATTCGCTCATATGATCTTCGTCATTAGAAAATATAAATCTTTTTAACGCATTACATTTAAAATGCCACTATGAATGACTACAAAATAACTTGTCAGATCCAACATACCTCTCTCTCTTTCCTCATTTTCTTCTATGTCTATGTCAGAGCTGTCTTCTGGGGGCTCAACATTGTTACACAGTCCTTCGCATGATGCGCATATTGGGGAACAATGGAGTCTCGCCTTCCTGCATCCACAATTGAGTTGACAGCCCTTTTCACATTTACATGAAATGTACCGGAGTATTGAGTTTGGTGCAGTTGGTACTAGCACAAGACCACTACTAGTTTTTTGCCATCTCCATTCACTTGGGTCTTTTTGTTGCTCGTTAGGTGTGGCTTGACCGGATAACCACTGCTGCACCTGATAGTAAACTCTCAGTAAATGTTCTCGTGTAGCAGCTTCAGTTGGGGACAATGAGGAAATGTTGGTCTTATTTTTGAATGATGAAGATACGTATTGTTTATATCTTAAATCGTTTAGTTTTGTTTCTTTTTTTCCATATAGAGCCGTGAGAAACATGTTTCCTGCTGTGGCAATCTCATCTATACTTGAATTAGGGTCTTTGAAAGCTTCAATTACCGATTGCAAATCTTTGTTCTTCTGCAGGACTTTAAGAAATTTCAGTTTCCCTTGATTAAACAATGCAGAAGTAGTATCACAACCACTCATCGCATACAGGAATAAAATATGATCCAATAGGATTTTCTCAGCAGCCAGCCTGGCTTCAAAAAAATACATTTTTTATATCAGGACTACAAAGACCAACCAAAATGATCAGTAAGTCGATATCTTCCCCTACTGTCACATGTTCATTTGACGGGGCCATCTCAAGAGCTGTTGTGATAATTAGGATATCAGCATCTTCCACAGCTTGCTTTGAATGAATTTTTGCATCATGAAGTTTCTCCACTAACATAGATATAAACCGGCTCTTGTTTTTTGGGATTACAAGAAAACTATCCTGCGACACAGTGGGCACCATCATTTCTGTAAATGATATTGCAGCAGATTGTTTTCTTTGTGCTCTTCTCAATCGTTCTAAACGCTTGGTGCTACCACAAGCCTCGTCAGGGTAGCCATTAAAAACGACAATAGCACTTGATTTGTAGTTTGATTTGACATATGATACATAACTGCTGCATATGTCTGACCTTGGCGCCATTTTACCTGGTGTAACACAAAACCCCCGTCGATGACATATTTTGTATCGTTAATACAAATCTAAAAAGTGGGTTTTGCAGTCACACCGGTACCAATTGCCAATTTTCAACTTGCACTTGAGACCGAACGGTTCGTCAGTACAATAACCAAAATAGTGACATTTGTACAGAACTTTAAGTACTTTAATTTCTGTAAACAGACCATTTACTAAAAGTTAACAGTTTTCGATTTTTAAGCAAAAAACCGGAAAAAAGCAAAAAAAACCGATTTATTCTGGTTTTTTAAATGTTGCGTCACGAAATTTTGTCCGCAAACCTCAGATTCAGATTTAGCACCCCAAAACACATATAGAATGAAAAAATCAGAACTTCCCCAAAACTTTCCTACTAGTATCACTTTACAGTACAAATTTACTGAATCACTAGTGTCTTTAGCACTCAAACAACAAACAGTGCACCCGGTCGCATGTGCGCGTTCATAATGGCGTAGATGGCGCAATTGACATATGCACATGTGACATGTCATATGACTCAAATAATGTAACCGATTGGTCAGTTGCAATTACACAGTTATGCAACTGGCATAGGTTCACCAATATAGAGTTTTGTATCTGATTCAAGATTTCTAATGCCTATTTCTTAGCAAATATCTAACTTTACAGCACTGGAGCACTGGAGCACATAATCAGAAGTGCAAGAATCGAAAAATCGAATACAGTATTTTATCGAGAAGGACCAAACTTACTACTGGCATTTGCAGACGATATCGATTTAATGGAAACAAACGATTAATGATGAAGGAGACTTTCGTGAGTTTCGAAAAGGAGGCAGAGAAGATGGGACTCCAAATCAACAAAAATATAACGAAATAAATGTATATGAGCCGCAATAACCAAAGCAGAGACAGAATCGGTCAGAACATCACCATCGATGACTTTAACTTTGAGCGCGTTAGAGAATTCAAATATCTTGGAACAACAATAACTGAAGACAATAACGGACCACAAGAAATAAACAACAGGATTCAGGACGGCAACAGATGTCTTTTTGCCCTCCAAAACCTTATAAAATCGAAACAACTAACACGACGTACGAAGATACAGGTCTATAAAACAATCATACGACCCGTTGTGATGAACGGAAGCGAAACGTGGACGATAACAAAGGCAGACGAAGAGAGACTATGTGTTTGGAAATGAAAAATCCTAAGGAAGATCTTTAGTCTTGTGCTGGATGAAGCATCAGGACAATATAGGATAAGAACTGACAAAGAGCTCGAAGAACTTTACCCAGATGCCAACATCATAAAAGAAATAAAGTCCAGAAGACTCCAATGGGCAGGATACTTCAGAAGACATTCTGACGAACAAACAGTAAGACTGGTGTAGGAGGAAGTCCCAACTGGAAGGAGACCACGCGGATGCCCTTGTCTCCGGTGGCGAGATAATATAGCAGGAGACCTAAGCACTATGGGCGTGGAGAATTGGATGGAGGTTGCTCAACACAGAAAACAGTAAGTAAGTAAAAAGGCTGCTC